CTGTGCCTGGAAATACGCGTATAGTCATTTACCGTTTGCTTTAAATTAAAAAACTCAGCTAAACGCTTCAAATGATTCGAATTATGGTTATCACGCCAATTAATATTAAAATCACCAGCCAATATATTTAATTTACTAGAATCAAGGAATGTCTCGAGCCAGTTCTCTAAAACTTCAACAAAACGCTGGTCACTAGAACTGGGAGAATGATACAAAACACCATAATTACCCATCTTCATGCCATGTACAACTGTAATGCCCAAGAACCAGTTGCCATCAATAACTTCGTTGGTACGAAGGTTGAATTGAACTGATTCTTTGACATAAATAGCAACACCGCCAGTGTGTCTAGAATGTGATAAACAAGCAGCAACAATATATCCCGGAATACTATACTGATCAAAAGCTTCAGTTTCTACAATATGAGTTTCAGATAATAAAACTAAAAGAGGACGTTTTTCCTCAACAATCTGACGTAATGCTACGTAGTTTGTTGACAACCCCGCAATATTCAAATATAAAAAATCGAATTGATTCACATTCCTGGAACTTGGCTGCTATTTATTGAAACGCAAGCTGCTTTTCTTCTGATCAAAAAGTCTTTTATAGAGCAAACATTCCGAGCTAAATGCGGCATGGTTGACGTCCAAGTTCATTTTTCGTTCTTTATTCATTTTCAAACAATTAATACATTTCAATACAGTTGACGTACACTCCGACGTTTTGTGTTGTTGGCTGCACCTAGAGCATCTATCACAATTTTTGCAATCCATGCTCTTGTGTCCAAATTCTCCACATTTGAAGCATCTCAACACATTAATCGCGGGAACTATCGAGCACCGATCAAACCCTACATTTACTTTTTTCGCACATAACAAACATTTATAAGTTTCGACATCGACTTCAATTACAACACTAAACTTGTTATAAGTGAAGCGTGGATTTTCAAACATGTTCACTACTTTTACATCATTAATAGCGATGTCTTCATTCTGACTTTTTAAGTAGTCAATAAAGACATCGGAGGAAAACTGATCGCTCATGCCCACTATTTTCAATCTTGGCACCGAAGTGGGAACAACAGCACTATATTTTTCACCCAGATTGCTTTCAATACCATTTTTCACATCACTTACGTTTGCTCCTGTTGCACACTCAACAATAATGGAGCCATCTTTACCATTCCTAAAATTACTGATTTTGTGTGTTTTTGGATCCAACTGACTTTTCAAAAACTTACGAGTATCTTCGCAAGGTTGTTTGGACTCTTTCGGTTTAATCACAATGACTGGACGAGTCTTACGATTTTCTGGTTTGTTACTTTTACTATTACTGTTACTATTAGTTTTACTTTGACTAATACGACTATGTCTTTTTACAACATCCGCAAAACTCGCATTTTCTTGAAAAACAACATCATCATCATGATCACTATTACTAATTACTAATTTACGTTTTTTGCGTCTGCTATTTTGGTCAGATTCCGACTGAATCGTCCTAGATGAACTGCACGGATCATTCTTTACAGCTAATTGGTTTTCCGCATCAATTTTAAAAAATGAATTTTTCATATTATCCAATTTCTCACAAATCAAATTTTCAAGACCATTTACATTTATTCTAAAATCTGCCATCCCGCTTTTAACCGCGATGTCCACCTGAGCAGCAATGTGATCTCGCATGCCAGTGATCGAGTCCGAGAGTTGAAAAACCTTCTTCATCTCTTCCTCTATCCTTTTGACGCGCGAGATCAGATCATTCTGCTCGTCACAACTCTGATCTGATAGACAACTATCACACTTGAACAGAATATTTGCATTATCTGCTATAAGTCTGGCCGCAGTCTTAGTGAGTGCCGCACAAGCGAAATGGAACGTTCCATTGCACGGACCTACACACGTAACTGGGAGCCCACTCATAGCAATAGACTGCTCGCATACATTACACACATCCATTCTACCAAATTAAACGCTAACACTGTTAGCAGCAGACATATACAGGGGAGGAGAACACAAAATAAAATTTTACCGCCACAGCTCACTATACAAATCAATAGCGCGCCGGGGGGAAAATACAAAATTAAACAAAAACTAGTTGCTAGGCAACCTTTCCTCTACTTATCCTGTTAGAAAAACACCACGGGCACGCGTTGGAAAAATCCTTTCGCGGCACACGCCACTATTTCACACGAAATTATTAATTTATTTTCACAGCACAACTCAACAAAAACACTACTTTGTACGCCATACATTGCCAGTTTTGAGAATCGATTCTAAACATTATAAGAAAATTGGCATGTCATTTTCGGTGTCGCAATAATTTCGTGTTTGCCCTTTAGTTCGACAGTTGCGCCATAACGTAGTGGCAACGTATTCGTGATTTGTCCCACGCGCAAATGTCGCAAAAGACATTTCAATCGCCGTGGGAGTGTCCCGGTGGACCGTCAAAAGGGTTTTAGACAGAGAAAAGAAAGGACAACTATCCGCGAAGGTGGCCACAGGTCGTCCGAGGTCAGCTCTGGTTCCGAGGGTTATCGCTGCTATCAAAAGGAAGATTCGGGTGAATCCAGTGCGTTCAATAAGGAAAATGGCAAAGGAACACGGGATCAGCGACTTTACGGCACGGAAGATCGTAAAGGAAGATTGCGGGGCGAAGTCGAGGGCACGGAAAAAAAACTCACATGATTACCAACCGCATCCGGGAGCTACGAGTCGAACGATGCAAGAAAATCTTGAACTTCCTTAAGCGAAAAAATCCGGTAATCCTGTTCACGGACGAGAGCATTTTTACCATCGATCCCGTATCAAATTCCAGAACCGACCGGTATATTAGTTCTCTTCCGGTAAAAGACGTGGCCGACGAGCACAAGAACTTGTATCTGACCAAGTATCCTGCTACCATAACGTTTGGATTGGTGGCTTCCGATGGCAAAAAAATAGACCCGGTGTTCGTTACAGAAGGGGACAAGGTCAACACGGAGGTCTACATTGGGATTTTATGTAAGTATGTTCTTCCGTGGATTAAATAACAATACGGTCCGAAGCCAAATGTTGTATATCAACAAGATGGGGCTCCGTGCCACACCTCGAACCGCATTCAGAAGTGGTTGCAGGAACATCTTCCGTTCTGGGCGAAGGATATGTGGCTGCCATCCAGTCCCGACATTAATCCGCTGGATTACTCAATATGGCGCGTCATGAAGACCAAGGCCTGTTCTAAACGCCACCCGAGTACAGAAAGCCTCAGACAAACATTGACGCGTACCTGGAGAGAAATGGATCCAGACTATATTATTAGAAGCTGCCGTGCATTCCGGAAGCGTGTAGAAGCCGTTATTGCAGCAAGTAGAAACTCGATCGATTATTAACATAGTTTAAGAGTCTGAGAAACATCCCCTTTGAATAAATAAAAGAAAAAACTCGAAAACGAAATTTTCGGGATTTTTTTTTAATTTTTACATTGCTCAATGCAAATTGCAAACATTATCACGCATACGGTAGAGCATACGATCATTTTGTTGTAGAGGGAATTTATACATATTGCCCCGCATAGTTGAATAATGTTAGATTAATATAGGCATTATTGAAAAATGTTTTCTGCAGATTTTGACACTCTAATACTTCATTTACCCGCCTGACGATAATTGGTAATGAGCAGCCGAAGCCGTCAATTTCTCTATTGGCAGCCACGGTATCAGAAAACGTTTAGTTCTATTCCATACAGAACGCGTGTATGCTCGGAGTTATGAAATGGTACGATAGATATGATTAATGACCGCTGCTGGGTCCGAAATGTTTAGCGCTGGTGCATATTGCCTCATTCTATCTAAGCGGCGAGATCTGGATATCTGTTTCCTTTGGGTTCGTGAGAGCAAAACTTTACACCATTGCAAACACGTAGGTGGTCGCGCGGCTGTTTTGTAGAACAATAGAGATTTTGGTTTTGATGTACTGAGATACAGCGACTGTTTTGGCTTCGGTTGTCACGTCCGTTCCAAATGATCTGGGGTCTTTACAGCCGAGGAAAGCCGATTCGAATCAATTACCGTCCGTCAGGTGAAGCTGGATTAGTCAAACTGCGGTGATTTACTGGCAATTGGCACCCTGCTGTGTGAGGTGTGCTACGTTAATGTGCGAACTGACTGCAACTTTAATGCAGCAAGTGCGAAAGCTCTTTGAAACGGGGTGACAGCAAGTGTCGGATTAATTTTGCCTGATTTCGAACAAGTCAGTCGTTTGCTACTTCCATTTACATACACATGAACTTCAAATGGTTTAATCTCTCAGCGGTCGTACATTTGATACTTAACGGCTGAAATAGATCGCGTAGATTTGGAAGTGGAACACATCTGGAGAACACATTAGCGAAACGAAAACGATGATGCCAAAAGATACACCACATTGACCGATTTCAGTTGCGTTCCTCCTTCGTTCTTCCCGCGCTTCATTTAACCGAGTCAAGTCAAATGCTGTTAAGAGTTCAAAGTCACACTTCGGGCTCCCTATCCCCAGACGCATGTGATTGAAACACTAATCATTGCTAGATGAACACTTCAAATGGTCCTATCTGCATTGATCGATTCTCATAATCGACTTTCTCTTGCTCTAATATCTCAGCTGCATAAACATTATGTGTTGTGTTTGATGGTTTCGAACGCATATTAGGAACCTAATTTATCAAACTATGTGACAAAAATAGCACGAAATCGGTTTTCATAGACCTGGTAATTAAAACAGTTAGTCAGTGAAGATAATCGATAAACTGAAATAGGGCATTTTGAATTGTTTATCTAGATCGACGCGTTTTGGGGTGAGCTATGAGTTCTCCTCGATGAAATATGTTGTGATGCGTACACATATGGTATGGTTATTTGATTCCGTTGAAGTTGTTGGATGCTTGAGCAGATATTTTTTTGATGTTCTAGATCAGTTCATCAGTTTGCAACAGTGCTTCGGGTCGGTAGCATCATCGCTTCCTGTGAAAGTCGGTCGATTAACAAAAGAATATCTAGTTAGCTATGCCCGGTGCTCAAGGGTAATAGTGGTAATCAGATAGTGATAATGAGGTGTGTGGAATCTAAGTTCTAATGAACATTGTATTGCAAAATTTAAAAAAAAAATCATGCATCGATAACTTGGCAATAATGTGAAGAAAATAAGCGCCTTTGCATTCGAATTGTATTTATCACACTGTTGTAGTGGGTTCCTGCGAATTGGGCAAGCTACTTTGAATACTTTAATATTTCTTGGAAAAAAATAGGGTTTCGAACTTCTTTTTTCTGTCCTACCAAGTACAACACGCCTCTCTGTTTCAAACTGATTTGATAAAAAAAATATAAGGATTCAACTGAAGATTACTTTTAAATATATACTAATTTATTTGATAGAGAGTCCAAATTGAAATTTTATGAAAATCTATCACCCTTGATGATGCCAAATTCGTCATACGAGTTTCAATTTTGTCCTAATACATCCAAGTAACATTGCAAGTTTGATCGAATTCTTCAAATCATGGTCATCAGAACACATATAAAACCCAAATTGTTACTTGGGATTGGAACGTCATTGGCTTTACTTCGGCAGACGGGCTGTTAAAAAATTTGTTTCGTCGGACGTCAAACCAGTTTACCAGAAAACGGGAAATGTGAATTTTAGTAAATTTATGGGTTTCTCTGGTTATCCTTGGTAGGAAACACTCGTTTACCTTGCAGAAGTTAGCAATAGGGTTAACTACCCCATTTTCGGCCTATTGAACACAACCCGCATTTAGTCTTTCTCAATCTATCGTAGTTTAGCAACAAACGGAATGTTACTATTACTGATGACTTCCAAATTTATTTACCTTTCCGTACGTACCGTAAGATTTGATAAAGAGAAACAAATTGTTGAGGTTAAAAGCCTAACACTGCTTCTTGACGCCAAACTCGGCCTGTGGATTCTAAATTCGGCCTAACATATTGAATCGCCATTGAAACGCCAATGAATTCACTTTGGCCTATCAGATGAAGATAGAGATTGATTCGGTCGGAGCGCTTCATTTGTATTTGAGAATATTAAGTGCAAACATTCATATCACGCGTTCTTACTGACTTCGTTTGGTAGCATTTGAACTAAAGTATCGTACCAAACGCATAATTTACCTGTTAACGCCAAAATCATGGATTTATTTGATCCCAAGTAACATTTTAAGTTTTATAAAATACTACAAAGCAACTATAAATCAACATTCATAAAACCCTGGTCAAAGCTATTTTGCCATTAAGGCATCCACCAAAACTTCATTAAGACTAAAATATGTCTAGTTGGTCCACCCTGGCGAAGGTTTTGGAGGGTGTATTCTCGTGGGTGTACCATTTTAAAGCTACAATAAAAGCTATTTAGCAACAATAAAAACCATTTCCGAGCCATTTCCCCTAGCCGCTTGCTAAATCCACGAGGAAAGCATCAATCAAGATAGAAAAGGATTTATGAATCCGATCTCATCAAAATAATTAAAATAGAAACTGTTGTTTTGCTTTCAAGAAATCCAAAACAAATTCATAAGGTTTTAAAATGGCATTTATGAAGAAAACTTGCAGGCTGAATTGTTTTTATCTTAAGCCATTTTGTTTGTTCCTAACCCGTTCAGATTTATGGCAGCATTTATGGAGGCAAAGTTGCCTGCAAAAATTTAAACGACAAAGTTTGCTTATCTTTCGATATTTATTTGCGCTTTTCGCCCGATGGATTGGGAGCAGTTACTCAGATAGTTTGCTATACTGTTTTTCAACATTTCGCATTTCCTACAGCTGAAAACGCAATCGTTCCCAAAAAAGATCTTCTTTTTCCGGATGGTTACAGAAGTGCACCATCCAACGATGCAGGGATGTACGCTTGAATGAAATTTTTGAAGAGTTGATTCTTTCGCCGAATAAAATCGCTGCTATGGATCGGAAACCAGCTAGTCTCCGCTAACTAACAGTTTCAGTGGTTTGCTGTCGGTTGTTATTTCGATTGTCATCTATTCGCAAGATCTGGAGAAGGCTGGTATGTTTTATTAATTCGAGGCCACGCTCACTTTACTCTTCTCCGCCAGATGGTCAGTCGTTGATGGTGTGCTGGTTCTTCTAAAGAAGTAATTTTTGCTGAAATCGACTTGAATTTTTCTTCCTACTTCGTCATAAATTTGGCTTTTATTATCTATGAGGAACCATCGTTTAAGCTCAATTTGTAAACAGAGTAATTGGTGAGTTTATGATGCACTTTAAAAAGCCTAAAAAGCAACAAAAAATGCTTTTTGCCCTAATGCAAAACCCAATGGTTTTATGGTTGCTTTTATAATGATTGAACAACATAATAGAGTATTTTATCAAGGCATTAATAAACAATTAAAGCAGCAAAAAAGGTTATCTTCCATTTAATTCCACTTAATTAATTTTGGTATCCATGACAGATACGTATTTCGACTACAATGTGCAGTCTTCATCAGTGCCATTCCCACTAAAGAACTTATCAAAATCTAACCCCCTTAAGTACTCATCCCCTAGGTAAAAAAGTCAAGATCATAGGTATAAAAATGAAACTACAATGTGTTGAATCGGAACCTACCTAACTAATAAAAACCAAAGATTTAAGTAAGCTAAAGGAGAAAAATCTATACAACTCTCTAACAAGGAAAATCCCCAAAGGCTTGGTAGCCATCATAATGAAGTAATGAAATTGGGTTGTTAGCGGAATGCTAAATAAAACAGCAAAAAAGGTTATCTTCCATTTAATTCCACTTAACTATGATCTTGACTTTTTTACCTAGGGGATGAGTACTTAAGGGGGTTAGATTTTGATAAGTTCTTTAGTGGGAATGGCACTGATGAAGACTGCACATTGTAGTCGAAATACGTATCTGTCATGGATACCAAAATTAATTAAGTGGAATTAAATGGAAGATAACCTTTTTTGCTGTTTTATTTAGCATTCCGCTAACAACCCAATTTCATTACTTCACAATAAACAATTGCTAATGAAGTTTATGATTGATTTACAGAACAGTTTTAAGGTGGGATTGGGAACTGTTTTAAATTTATTTTTAAAACAAAACAATTTGTGACTTTCTTGACAGACTATAAAACGTTTTTAAAACTGCAAAAGGCTGAATTACTCAGCAGGAATGTTTTACTCTTTGAAATGCTGTATTTAAACTAAATGAATTGTTCATTGCCGTTATAAAACCATCATAAATCAGAGTGGATGCCAAATGGTTACTAAATTGTTACTTGGGATGTTTTCTGCTTGATAGGCCCAAAATGGGCGCCTAGACCGAAGTAGTTCTCTACCCTACAACCAAAAATTTGATTATACAGCTACTTTCTGCTTCTAGATGCTAATATAAAGCAAATTTTTTTTATGGGTTCACTTTCTATTGCAAAGGAAAACACTTCGAATCCATCGGATGTTGAACAGCAGAGTAATTTCACGCCAAATAGCGAAAAACCAATGAATTTCAGATTTAACCGCTCAGGATTCCATGGCACTTCACAGCAAAAAGTTCGTAATTTTAATTGTGATGTAAACATTCATTGACGTAAACATGTATTTAATTTCACGCATATGATGAACTTCACAAGGATAAGCTTTTGACTATGACGGCTCATTTAATCAAAATGACGTGTGAACTGGATTGCCTTTTAACCTTCCGACGTTATTCGGGTCTTTTCGTTCAAACGCACTATTCAATTGACTGTACCTCAGGAACCCTAAACTCAAAGATCTTGAAATTTTGCCACTTTTCCTAACTTTTGGAGTTGAATAAATAATAAAAAGTCGCATTCTCGCCCTCTGGGTCTTTTAAGACCCAAGACTGTTTTTGCTATAAATTGATCGGGAGAAGGATCACCTTCTAATATTTAAAATTTATAAAATACTATAAAGACTCAGTTTTAAAGAAGTTTAGGGGTGTGAAAAGAAGTTCGTAGAAGTTAAGAGGTATAGGGGCCTCATAGCCTAGTCAGTAAAGGCACGGTATTACCAAGCCGGAGGCGGCGGGTTCGATTCCCGGTCCGATCGAGGGAATCTTTCGGGTTGGAAATTTTCTCGACTTCCCTGGGCATAGAGTATCATTGTGCTTGCCACACAATATACACATTCATGCAATTGGTATTGGCATCGAAAGCTCTCAATTAATAACTGTTGAAGTGCATTAAGAACACTAAGTTGCGAGCAAGCAAAAAGCTAATATGCACTAAGCAATAAGCTTGAAATGCGAATAATAAGAAGAAGAAGAAGTTAAGAGGTCGTCATTTGATTTCAGAGATCTTCGAAGAAATTCTGAAAACTTCGTAAAAGTTTAGGGAACTGCATTGAAGGTCTGTTAACTTTCTGGAAGTGCAGCATATTTCATAGGTTTGCAGAAAGTTTTGTAAAAGCTCCGCAACTTCGTACAACCTCAATAAACTTCGTTGAAGTGCAGAAAATTGCATAGAACTTCATTAAATTTCGTAGCAGTTCAGAGAACTTTGTAGAACTCCTTCAAACTTTGTAGGAACTTATTATTATTATTATTTAGCTTTATTATGGAGGCTTTCAGCCTTGGGCTGGTTCGCCTCCAACGTTTGTAGAAATTTAGCAAACTTAAGAGAAATTTAGAAAATTTGAAAAAAATTGGGAATTTCGTTGAAGTTCTGGTTTTTTTTTAAAATAAATTCATTGAACTTCGTAAAACTTCTGGTAACTTGATGTGGGCGTAGCTGTTTAGAGATTTTCGTAGTGCACTCTCGACTGCTGCGCATTAACTCTTGTTGACTTTCTTTAACTGTCCAGACAACCAGAATGCACGTATATTCAAAGTTGTTTCTGTGATATACAAACATATATATAAACAAACAAATCGTATATAATGCAAAAAAGAGCCTATACCTACAAAACTGGAGCCCATATACGTGCAAATTTTAATTTCTTATTAAACTAGTTGATTTGACATTGCATACGATTTAATCTGTAACAACAATTTCAATTTGAAAAGTCTTACGATGTAATCCGATTTAATTTGTGATACAGTACGATGGAAAAATGATTCATCGCATTAAGGTCGGAAATTTACATTCTATACGATTTAACTTAAACATAATGCGATGTATGTCATACTTATATGCGATGTTGATTTTGACTCTAGTTATTTGCGATACCGTCTGTACATTGGTATACGACTTCTGGTTGTCGGGGTGGTCTTGTTTGTTACGATGGGAGTGCGTGGTCGCCGCAGGCATCTTCAAAAGCTTCACCAAACGTGTCTAACGTACTATTTCCTGCTACTTATTCTTCTTCGTCATTATTGGTTGCGTTTTCATCAGGGCGTTCAATAGGTACTAGGAACTCTTCCGTGAATAACTCTATGAATTCAACTGCTTGAACATCTTGAACACATCCTGTTCTGAAATATTGTGCATCTTCGTTGATTACTACCGTGTCACGGCTGATCTCGAACTTGTTGCTCTCCAGAAAATACACGCGGTATCATTTCGTGTCCAGGCATTAGCCTACGAATATACCCTTTGCTGCTTTCTGATCGAATTTCTTACGCTTTACATACGGAATATGGACAATCACGCTGTACAGAAAATTCTCCAGAATCAGGTCTCTTTCCGGTCCAGATTTATTCGTCTTGATTCCATTGGATCTCGTTGGTGATCGTTTCATCAAGTATGCCACCGCCTCTGCCCAGAATTCTTTCTGAATTCGTGCATCGTTCAGCAAAGAAGTGTCCTTTTAATTTTTTTTTTTTCGCTGTGCCATTCCTCTCGGGAGTGTACGGGCAGGCTTCTGAGGGCACATGCCATCCTTAGGCCGGAACTTTCCGAAATTCGTCGCAAACATACTCTCGTCCATTATCTGTCGTGAGTATTTTGAGTTTTTTTACCTGTCTGACGTTCTGCGTTTGCTCGGAACAATTTGAACGCATCCAGTGCTTCGATTTTGGCCTTCAAGAAGCAAATTGCCACTCTCTTGATCTAAAAATGTGACAAAATATCTACTGCCACCCAAGAAAGGAATCCCTACTGCTCCGCAGAGATCACAATGTACCAGCTACAGCAGTTCTAATACCCTGGAATCACTCGGATTCCTCAAAACGGATTTCGAGCTTGTTTTCCTTCCAGGCACACTTGGCAATCCTTCACCGTTTTACCTTGAAAATCTTTACCATTGGACACGTGCTTGAGCTGCTTCAAATTTGTCTCGTTCAGGTGGTTCATCTTTCTGTGCCACAGTAGAATTCCACTTGCCAGCAACGTCTTATTCGGCTGATTTATTTGGTACATGCCGTCTTCTTCTTTGCCAGAAACGACCAGTTCACCGTTCGCATTCAACACCTCACATTTGTCCGCATTAAATATCATATTTAGTGTGGCCTCTTTTGCAGATCGTACTCACCGATAACAGATTAGTCGCCATATCAGGAATCTTCAGTACTCCGTGTACATCGATCTTGCCAAGCGGAATCTGCATTTCAACCGTACATTTAGCCAAAACCTTCATGCTTCCATTGCTCACGGTTCTGACCGCGTGTTGCCATGCTGTTTCATCAACGAAGTTCTGATTCGGTCTGGCCATGATATGACTTCGCCCCCGAATCAAAATACCACACTACAGCTTGAACATCGCCAATTGCAAAAATACTGCATCGGTTTTGTCTTGCTCGCAAACTCTTCTGGACACTTGGCCGCAAAATGATCTGGCTTTCCGCAAATGAAGCACGTCTTCTCGGACTTCTTCTTGATCTGCGCCTTGAATTTGTTTGAATTCGCACCTCGCGTGTACAATGCTCAATCGTCACTGCCACCTGTAGGTCCCCTTTCATGCTTCACATCTTACAAGATCTTTGCCTTCATCGCATTCGACATAAGTTTCGCTCATGAGGCTTCCAGCCCCATAATCATCGGCTCGTAGTGATCAGGTAGCCTCATCAGCAGCCACGCTACCAACCACGTATCATCAACCTTGAAGCCAATCGAAGCGAGCTTATGGCTGGTACTCATGAGCTCGTTGATGTATTCTTCCACACTCAAACTATTGATCAGACGAATAGAGGTCAACTTCCGTACACTGAAAAAAAGTTTTCATATAGTTTCCATTGGGAACGCACATGATATTTTTCCAATAAAAAAATAAATTATTTTTACCTGAAATTCACATAACATTTATTTGATCACATAAATTCTATGTGATTAATCACATAAAATTCATTGGACACACAAGGTTTATGTGATTTCGTGGTGCGATTCCCAATTCTGAGATCACATGAAAGTTATGTGAAATTCTAATGGATATTTTCCATCGGAAATGTGATTTATTTTTTGAGTGTAGCAATCCAATTTTTCGCGTCAATCCGGTATCTTGAAATGCTGTGGCTAGCTTTTTCCAAGCTTCTACTGCATCCGCCGCATCTTGGACGAGACTATAATTGTAACTCTCCAGACTGAGACAGATCGTAGCAAACGCTCGCATCTTGATATCATCTGCAACAACTACACCTTCAGCAAGCTCAACGGCACTCCAACTTCCTTCACGGATCAAAATCATCCGCATCGCAAATTCCCAGGTGGAATAGTTTTCACGCTCCTTCAACTTCTCTATGGCTGGCCTCGGAACGGCTGCCATCGTAACTCGAATCATTCCTGTTTCAGTTTGACTTCCGTTTCCGCTTACATCAGCTGGCATCTTGAATTCCTTGAATTTTTTTCCGGTTACGGATCTTTGGCCCATAACTTCTTGTAGAGTTAGAATAAAACTAGAGCACCTGGTTTGATGTTTGGAAACTGAATCATGGTTTATTGCAACCAAACAACTTAGGTAACTAATAACTGTCGCGTAGCTAATGATCGTTGCGATTACTACGCTTAACAAACCAATCATTTTCATTTGGGAAAAAAATATTATTTTGAATACTATCGACTCCAGAAACTAAAGACTCGATATTCGAGTAATGTGAGGCAAAAATATTGACATTAGTTTAAAAACTAAAATATCTCAAAACTGCATGAACTTGGAATCCAACCAATTCCATACGCATCAAGATTTACGACTTCTTCTGCATGATGCCTAAAATGCAATAAAGCCGGCGCTGGTGGTTACTTCGAAAGAGAAGTAAAGCCGTTGGTCCCGGCCCATGTGTGTTGAATGGGTGCGATTGGCACTAAATTGCGGAACAGAGACCGACGTTAGATAAAGGAGAGCAGATGCCTAAAGTGCCAAAACATTGAGTTTTAATTTGAACAGATTTTAAAAACCTCAAAACGTACTTTTGCCTCTCGTGATCTTTCGGCCTACCTTACTCTATCATAAATTATGCATGGGGCAATAGTTTTCCAACGATCCTAGCAGCAACAACACAAATTTCCACTACGTTTTGCATAAATTTGAAATAATAATTTTGCATTTGATATTCAAAATCATGTCCACCAAGATGATATTGAATATTGATCAATAGCATGGGGTCATGGCAAAATTAAAAGTCTTGTAGGTAAATAGTTGGTTTATCTTATAAGGTTGCTTTGATTTTCAGCTGATTTGAGTGTAGAAGAAATCAGTTTTATCAACGCTGAACACACTTAAAACCAAGTAAATGTGTATTTCAGAGTCGAGTGTGTTAACACTTTGATCAACAGTTTAAATGTTTTGAGTGTGGGTATTTGGCTGTTTTTTAGTGAGTGTTCGTATGGCTAAATTTTTTCGTAGTGTAGTAGTGACTTAATTGGACTCTTTTGGTGTTATATCTAAACCCAACCAGACATTTGATGGCCATAAACTTATCGAATTACGGGAAATGAACAACATATTTAAAAAAAATTAAATTGATGAAGTTACCGCTTCAAGATTTATGATCCTGATTTATATTTCATACCTTAACCATCCATTTTCCCATATTTTATCACCTGCAGAAGAAAGCTATTCCTAATAATACAGCTGCGCATTGCTGTTGCTTTGGCACGTGAGTATCCCAACACTTTGGACCCCGTTTCAAAATGACAAACTATCAAAACTCTAATCTCATCAGAGGACATTTTTGGCTTCGGAGACTACGAGGAGGGTCCATGTGGTCGCTGGAAGCCAGGTGATGTCGATCTACGCTCGTTCGATCTGATCCGGGAGTTCCAACTGGAATCGAGCAGCCGGCATGTGCACAGCATCGAGGGTACCAACGTGCTGCAAACGGCTTACCGGTTGGAAAACGAAGCCAATCTGACCATGCGGGCGGTAGATGCATTCCCCCTGGGGCTTCCTCATCAGTTTTCGCTGGAGTGTACCTATAGGACGGAAAGCGAACCGGTATCGGCGTGGCATCTGTTCGAGGTCACGAACGAGCATCACGAAAGTCAACTGGCCGTGACGATGAATCCTGGAATGCAAACGCTGGAAATAGGACTAACCGGGTTGGGGGGAGACCTGCAGGTCATTGAGTACCACCATTCTGCGGTGAGTATTGAAAGCCTTTTTGAGAAATCGGTTTCCATAAGCGTTTGCTGGTTTCAGCTGTTCGATCAACGCTGGCATAAGATCATGTTGGGAGTGACGAACGACTATCTGAATCTCTGGGTTGATTGCCAACCGGTTCGGGACGTGGAGGGTAACTTGAATGCACCGCTGGAGACACGAGGTCGCTTCGATACCAACAACGGATACGTTTCAATATCCCGGTATGCGGAAACCTCCGTCATGGAACCGGAGTCCCCAGTCGTGGATCTGCAATGGATGGTGATGAACTGTGATCCTACGCGACCAGCTCGTGGAACTTGTGACGAGCTACCACTGTACGATGTAGCGTACGTGGGAAATCGTTTACCCACAGGGGAGGAGCCAAAAGCTGACTGCAATGCGGTGTGTCCTCCTGGGTACAATGGGACTGATGTGAGTTGTAGCTTGGTTTTGACAAACATTGAATTGACAAAAGATTATTTTTAGGGACTCCCAGGCCTTCAGGGTGCCCCGGGGCTTCCGGGAGTTAAAGGAGAACCTGGCTCAAATGGTAGACGAGGTCCTCCTGGTCCTCGGGGACTGGAAGGTCCTTCAGGAGCATCCGTTAGAGGCGAAAAAGGTAGCATGGGTCAAAAGGGAGAATCTGGCTCAGCGGCAGCAGCTGGGGTAGCTGTCATAGGACCACCAGGCCTGCCTGGACCTCAAGGGCCACCCGGCGCTGGTATCAAAGGGCAGAAGGTCAGTTTGTAGATTGTTGTTCAAATACATTTGAAAATAATTCCTTTCATAGGGTGACCAAGGCGAGATTGGACCACCGGGACAAAGAGGTGAATCGATTCGAGGACTAGACGGACTACCAGGGCAACAAGGATTAACAGGACTGCCAGGAATTGGAATTAGAGGTGAAAAGGTCTGTATTCTATATGATTATGTTTTGTTCCTAGTAGTGACAGTTTACATTTAAGGGCGATCAAGGAGATACCGGACCTCCCGGACGACCAGGAGATTCATCTCCTGGAATTCCAGGTTATAAAGGAGATAAAGGAGAACCAGTGAGTATCAATGTTTATGATGCATTTGGATAAGTATGATCGCAAAAATATCTTCCAAAGGGTGAAGTGACCGCTGCTTTCGGTTCTGTTGGTGAGAAAGGAGACAAGGGAGATAGCGGAGCACGTGGACCAACTGGTATTCAGGGACTCCCGGGGGCACCGGGTACTATGGGACCTCCAGGAATGCCGGGAGCTCCAGCTGTTGAAAGCAGTTATGCTACGGGGAACATCGGTTTGGCTATCCCGGGACCTAGAGGTGCACCGGGTGCACCGGGAGTTCCAGGTCTACCAGGACCCCCGGGACCTCCCAGCTCTTCAGGCGAGGCGTCATCTTCAGGTAGTTTGAAAAGAAAAATGAATAAAATAATAATTTTAAGAATTACAGTAACTTAAAACAATTGATAGGTGGTGGTAGATATTTCGAAAACATGATGTCCTATGGGCATCGTGGGCCTGTGGGCTACACGGGACTTCCAGGAGAGCGAGGTGCCGGTGGTGATCGAGGACCAGAAGGTGGGTCGGGTTTGCCAGGAGTTCCGGGACAGGACGGTGCTCCTGGAATGCAAGGTTCTCCAGGAGTTCCAGGGCAGCCTGGTGCAACAGGTACGTCTACCAGGGTTCAATCTCAGTGGAATTTTATTAATTTGGAAACGTAATTACAGGTCTTCCTGGATTACCGGGGAGAAGTTACACAGAATCAGAAGTACGGGATATATGTGCGGCAGTTTTGAGAGATCATCTAGCGGAGTTGACTGAAGGTTTGATGGGACCACCTGGGCTTCCAGGAGTATCAAAGACTGGCAAACCAGGTTTGCCTGGAAAACCTGGACAAAAAGGCGAACGTGGCTATCCAGGATCACCAGGTATGAGTGACTTTCAGTGCTAGAAACTGATCATAAATAATCAATCCATTTTCAGGGGATCGTGGATACCCTGGAGAACAGGGCAACTCTGGTCTTCCAGGTACTCCGGGAGATCGTGGAGAGCCTGGCTTGGAGGGTAGACCAGGACACGATGGTTTTGGTAGGGATGGTGCTCCAGGACCAGTTGGGCCTCCAGGACCACCAGGTCAATCAGTTCAAGGTTTACCAGGTCGGCAGGGCGAAACGGGCCAAACGGGAAAACCTGGCGTTCCAGGTCTGCGTGGTGCACAGGGCATTTCCGGTGTGTGTCCCAATGATTGCTTTCTTGCTGCAGCCGCGGCTGCACAAAGCTTTCGCACCAATCAGCAAACGAAAGGTCCGTCGTACTAGTAGTGTACCAATAGCTTGGTAATAATTATCCAACCCTCAATTGCCAGTGGAAAAAAATAAATTCTTAGGCTTATAATTCATTCCAGTAGATCACTTTCCCTCTGTTCTAAATAAAAAAAAACGCTTTGGTGGATACCGCTGTGTTTTAATGTGACTCAAGTGAGCTTGTTAGTTGAAGTGAAGCGATCAGGTGCAAATTATTAACGGAAATTAATAGCCGAGCAGTTGAAACGAGTTCCTTTTGTGACTAATGAAGAAATTGCAAGTGACTTACTGCGGAAACCTATCGCATAGCATACTAAAACCGTAGTCTCCCACGGCTTAATGAAGGCGAAGGACACATCGATCGGTTGTTATTGAGAAACCTTCTAATTACAACTAGTGCTGGACAGCCTTATTATACCGTTGGAGCCCTTTGCCTCGGTAGGTTTAATTTCCTGACTTTTAACTACCAGGTCCCCGTGTACTTGTGGAGCCGGCTTCTTGAAAAATCTCGAAAACGATGAAAAACGAAACGATTGTTTTCGTTACTTCAGCATCCATAAACGGTTCAAGATCAAAATTTATGAGATTGACTTTTGGCTTTGCCATGCGCTCAAAGTCATGTTCCATGTTGTTACAAACAGTGTACCTACATACCGCACTCGCAAGTCCGTACAACCTAGAAATTTATGGGGTTAAAACACATTATTTTCCTCGAACCAACCGTTGATGGCCGATAATTCGTCCGTTCGTGGCGAGAGTTGTAAAAGGGCACGACGTCTCTGATACCGCTGGTAACTTTTGTCGCCTCTTGACTTGAAATCCGAAAAAGGCCAAACGGCGCACACTCACACAGCATGCGTGTTGGACGCGGGCAGTTTGATACAATTACACGGCCCCGGGTAGTGCAGAATAACAACGCCTTGCATTCAACGGCATGCTTCGATTGCAGTGTGCTTGTTTTAGTTGTTGTTGTTATTGCGTGTAGGTAAGCACTCTTCCAATCTGAATGGCTTTTAATCAGATGGTACAAACATGACACATCAATAAGCATACGGAGAATCGAAGGGAATGGTTGTAATCGGCGAAATTACTACTGAATGGTACTGTTTATGGGACTGATCGTAATTCAATGTGTGGAAAGGTTGATCTACGATGGTGAAGAGTGTAATTTTTCAATTTGAATTCAATCGGGTACCGATTATAAGATGTATTGTTCAAGGACATATTACCATTGATGAAGTTGTCTGATTGCTTCTCGAATATCTGGAGAACTTTGAGATTTGGGCATAATTTATAAACAAACACGTGAGTCACCGATTTCTCGTGAATTAAAAGTCAATCTCGTGAACAAACTATACCAAATAATACAGGAACCATTCCTCTACCTGTTTGTGTTGTCTGTTTTTAAGATTAAGATTTAATTCGCGAGAAATCGGCAAATGACGTAATTGTTTACAAAAGCAACTACGCCTTTATCTCGAAGTTCTCCGGATATTCTATTCTATTTATTCGGGTATTAGATCACTTATACAACCAACATTGATTAAACGAATATTGAGAGACTTGTCCTGGACACTGGTGATGCTGTAGGAAAACCGATTCAATCTCACGGAATCATATATGACCCTTAAACGAAATCATGACTTCATTAGAAAAAATTGCTCCACATACGTCTACGATGCAGAAAAAGCATGAAATGGGAACATATTGTTGAAGTAGATCTTCAAAACTTTATGAACAGTGCTGTCATTGCAAATTTAGAGCTTTCACGGCAGTCCATAATTGCAATGCACACGCTAACTTTAAAGTACCCTGTAATGGGTAAAAAAGACTCATTTTGAAGGAAAGTGGGCTGATCGCACACGATAGGACCCGATTTTTACGTTGTGTGATAAAAGGATATATTAAAACGAGAACGATTATTTGACCGTCCTGCCATGGTGGAAGTATGAGAACTATAAACGTTTATTTATTGTAACATAACAAGGAAACTACAAAACAACCAATGACAATGATACGGGGACAAGTGGTGACATCTATGGGTAGGTACAGAAGCTACTTTATGTTAAGGGTAGGGTAGTCGCATGCACGAACAGAGGCTTAACTCATTTACCAGTGGCTTAACTTATTTAACAATTAACATAACTCATTATTAATTTACATAAACTTTAAACCCATTTCTGAGTATCTGTTACTCATTAATGAGTAACTATTACCCAATTAGTGAGTAACAGCTACTCATTAATGGGTAAATAATTTACTCATCAATGAGTTAAGCCACTTTTCTTCAAAATGGGTATTTTGTTACCCATTATTTGTCTACTTTCAAGTTAGCGTGTACATTGCAATTATGGACTGTCGTGAAAGCTCTAAATTTGCAATGACAGCACAGCATCAAATTTTTAAACCTTTTTAATTTTGTGAACATACCGATTTTTTGACAGCTTAGAATAAATATAAAAATGAGTACAAGGTTCTCATTTAATGGGCACTTTAAAGTTAGCGTATGTGGATCAGAAATAAACTACCCGTCGTAAGTATGGACTCACATAGAAAAGTATTGTAACACTCATTTGAATATTGCATCACCATAAAAAGTTTAGCATCACTCAAATAAAATGTGCCAAAGTGTTTGAAATTACTTTGGAAAGTGCTGACTCGCATCAGATTTGTTTTGAATTACTTCGGAAAGTACTTAATCACTTTAGAAAAGTTTGGAATCAAATAAAGAAAAACTCTAAATCACTACGAAAAGTACTGAGTCACTTGATAATAATTCGGAATCACTTTAAAAAAGTACTGAAACGCTTCATTACAGATTAGAATCACTTCGGAAAGTACTGAATCACTTCGAAATGTATATATCACTTTCGAAAAGTTCGAAATCTCTTCGAAAAGTATTGAATCCCTTCAGAAAGTACTGAATCTTTTCTGAAAAGATTGGACCTAGAATTGGGCTCCCTTCGGAAAGTACTGAATCACTTCGAAATGTATTATATCACTTTAGAAATAATCGGAATCATTTCAAAAGTTTGGAATTACTTCACAAAGTACGTAATAACTTCAAAAAGTGGCGGAATTACTTTCGAAAAATTCGGAATCACAACGAAAATAATCGAATTACTTCGGAAAACAGTTAATCAGTTCAGAAATGTTCGGAATCACTTCATAATGTTTTGAATCACTTCGAAAAGGACTTAATCGTTTCAGAAAGTACTGAATAACTTCTGAAAAGTTTGGACTCACTTTGGAAAGTACTGAATTACTTGGAAATGTATCATTTCACTTTAGAAAAGTTGTGAATCACTTCTCACGGTACTGAATTGAATCAGTCAGTTTGGAATCACTTCAGTAGTAAGATTCAGTACTTCTAAAGAGAGTCCAATTTGTTCTCCATAAATCAGATTCCAAAGTCATTCTACACTGTTCTGAAGTGATTCAGTAAATTATAAAGCAATTCCAAACTTGTGCGAACAGATATAGATTCGCACAAGTTTGGAATTACTTCATAATTTACTGAATCACTTCCGAAGGGTGTAGAATTACTTTGGAAAGTACTGATTCATTGCCGAAAAACATGGACTCTCTTCGGAAAATACTGAATCCTTCCAGAATTTTTTTTAATCGCTTCCACAAGTACTGAATCACTTAAAAAATAACTGAATAATTTTAAAACCGTTTGGAAGCACTTCACAAGGTATTTAATAAATTAAAAGAATATCGGAATCACTTTTAAATAAATTCGGAATCACTTTGTAAAGTACTGAATTATTTTAGAAAAGTTTGGAATCGCTTCACAAAGTACTTATAACTTCAAAAAATATAGGAATCATTTTCAAAAAAAAAAAATTGGAAGCACTTTGTAAAGTACTGAATGTTTGTAATTATTTCCGCAAGAACCGAGTCACTTCGAAAATAACTGAATCACTTCAGAAAGCAGTTGATCACTTCAAAAATGTTTGGCTACTAAATACTGAATCATTTCAGAAAGTAGTGAATCACGTCAGAAATGTGCAGAGCCACTTCAAAAAGTACTGAAACACTTCGCACAAGTTTAAAACTACTGCATAATTTACTGAATCACTTCAAACGAGTTTAGAATCACTTTGGAAAGTATTGATTCACTGCAGAATTGGATTCATTTCGAAAAGTACTGAATCATTCCAGAAAAGTTTTGAACTACTTCCGCAAGTAGTACCTGAATCATTTTAGAAAAGTTTGGAATCACTTCTCAAAGTACTTAATAGCTTCAAACAATATCGGAATCACTTTTGAAAAATTCAATATCACTTTGTAATGTACTGAATAATTTTAAAAGTTTGGAATCACTTCACAAAGTACTTCATATTTTCAAAACATATCGGAATCATTTTCGAAAAATTCGGAAGCACTTTGTAAAGTACTTAATCATTGTGTTCTGTTCTGTCCTTTATTTAACGTCGGTCTCTGTTCCGCAATCTAGTGCCAATCACCGACGGACATCGATTGCCATCCATTGATGGCAATCGAATGTGCAGGAAGGCAGCTTCCACACCTGCGTAGGATATCGCACCCATTCAACCACACATGGGCCGGGAGATTTTTATGCCTCAGAAAAATCCCACCGACCTCGGCTGGGATTGAACCCAGACCCATTGGGGTGTTAGAAAGCAGTCACGCTTACCACAACACCACCGGCGCCGGCTTAATCATTGTGGAATGTTGGAATTATTTCCGCACAAACCAAATCACAACGAAAATAATCGAATTCCTTCGGAAAGCAGGTTGTCACTTCAGAAATATTCAGAATCACTTCAGGAATATTCGGAATCACTTCGAAAAGACAGAATCGCTTCGTGAACTTTCAGAACCACTTTAGAAAGTACTAAATTATTTCAGAAAGTGCTGAAAAACAAATGAAAAGTTTGTCAGAAAGTACTGAACCAATCCTAAAAACTTTGAACTCACGTCGGAAAATACTGAATCACGTAGGAATGCATTGTATCATTTTAGAAATATTCGGAGTTGTTTTTGAAG